GACGACTACAGCAGCAGGAGGAAAAAGGGTGCATGTATTGCTTGCTTGGTGGTAGTAGGGAGGAACTTGAATCATACAGAGGTCTAGGATCTGGACTTCTGAACATCCATTCCTGGTTTTGCCACTGAGAAGTTTCAGGACCTTGGGCAAGTTGTTTCAAAATTCTGCCTCAGTTTTCCCATCTGTGAAATGGGGGTAAACTTACCTACCTCACTGGATGTTGTGAGGCTAAATTCAGTAGTATTAGTATACTAAGTTCTTAAAGTTCCTGAGAAGGAAGGTGCTAAGTGCAAAGCACAATATAGTCAAGGAGAGTTTTCCATTTGAGTGTCCTCTTGATATCTTGATGGTTTTGATCTCCACAGTCTAATTTCCACTTAGGACAGTTTAACTACTTGATGGTAGAAGTTTTGCTGGTTTTTAAATAGGAACAGTATTTCATTGCACCTGAATTCAGTTCACTTTCGGCATAACATTAGAGTCCGTGACAGCATTAGAAAATCCTCCTGAGTTAAGCAAAGTTTTCAGAAGCCACTATGATGATTTTCCCCACCTTAAGAGGTATCAAGTTGATGAACTCCACTTTCACAAAGGTCACCCCTCTTCTGAACAAGCATCCCAGTAAGGCCTCTGGACTCCCTTTTTTTTTTTTTTTTTTTTTTTTTTTTTTTTTTTTTTTTTTTTTTTACCCTGCCTCCTACTCAAAGTAGAACGGTCACTTTTGACAAAAGTTTTTGACATGTTGGTACATGCCCTGTACAAAATAACCATGACTAGACATATGCAATAAAGTGGCACTTTCCTGCTGCTCTTAATCTAATAGCTGATGTGGTATTGCATGCACCATTTTGCACACTTATAGAAAACACTGAGATAGTTAGCCACTGTAGATAAAGTCAAAAATATGTACCAGGGACTTTGTTCTTTTGCAGAACTCTTTGGTTTTAACTCCAGTTTACATGCAGTCCTGCTTTTGTGCAGAATCTGTCTATTTGAGGACATGACTTCAACTGTAAAATATTTTTTCTGTTAAGTGTTTGCATTCAGTTATGTCAATGCAAGATCAAATATGAGACCAATACACCAAAGAAAGCAATGTGTAGCCTTCTTGCCTTTAATATATTTGAAGAATTAGTTATCTTTGTATCTCCAGCTTTCTGTCTCTGTAACGTTCCATCTTTAATTCCCATTTACATTGTACCTGGCATAGCTTATTCCAGCCTATTTATATCAGTAATTTTAGCTGGGTTAAAAAAAGTTGCTTTTAGTCCTAATAAACTTATGCACTTCTCCAGTTAAGATATACAACTTTTTGCTTTCCTTGTAACTTAGATTTTTCATGTCAAATACAAATAATTCAGTATTTTCTGGAGGCATTAGGGCTTCCCTACCTGCCCCCCCCACCCTTAATTCCCCTTTCTAAGCGCAAATAGCCATACTAAGCAGGAGCAGTAAAGAAAGCTTGCTTTACCAGCCATCCCATAAGACTCTTTAAGAGCGTTATTAGTCTCTGTATGCCTTGAAGTGACTGTTCCTGCAGATTCTATACTGGTAGTAATCATCAGTATATCAAGGTAAGCTAGAGAGATGACATACAGAAGATGGGAATCAAGCCCACTATATCAGACCATTGCATCCTCCTTTACTGGTAATCTTTTAGTCAGTGGTCCAGGCTACAGTATGGCTATGCTTCTCTTTCCAAGAGAACTGAAACCTGTGTCTAACTAAGAGCAAAAACAAAGCCTGTCCTCAAACTAAAATAAGTGACATATGAAGAGTTATAATCCTCAACAAAATTTGTGAATGCACCATGAACATTCATGAGATCTGACATATCTGCTTCTCCCTAATTGTCCTGAATTCATGCAATACATAAAGGCGTTCAGGATCACTGATGTCACAACTGGGATACAGAACAGGGTAATGGGATCAAATCAGTGTGTGCTCATGTAAAATCTTCTCACGAAGGCAGTCTGAGATACTATGGCCATTTCAACTTCATCTTTGTTATCTGTATCTGAGGAGGCAGGCTATAGAAATTGCCACTCAAAATCAGAGGCCATCCAAGTTAAACATCTTAAAAGCTAAGAACCTACTCTCTCAGCTTTGAACCTCAAAAATAAGCAGCTAAGTCATTTATTGGAGTCTATCGATATTTATTCATTTTATGTTAAATTCTGTATGTGCTTGTCAGTTTCCTATCTCAATAAGAATTCTAAGGCCACTGTTGTGATTAACAGCACTTTTATACTGTTTAACTAGTTGTTTCAAAGACCAACTTCTCCCTGTTATAGGTATGTCATTAGTTTCCTGCTGTCAGGCTTTCTGCACTTTAGGGACAGTTAAAGACGAGCTTATGCTTCAAAGAATAAGTGCTTACACCCTGTTTTTCTTTGACTTCCTACATTTGAGATAGCCCACAGATTCCCATTATCTCTCCCCATGACCAGTTTTGCTAATTTTAGCCCCATCACCAAATTTCATGAACAAATCTGTACTGAGTTTAAAGCTTTTTGACTTTTGACTAAAGTTTCATACTTTTGATTAACTGTATACAAGCCAAGGCAAAGTTAATCAGAAACTAATAAAATTTCTCTAACCATTTCTTAGCACCTGCAACTACACATTCAACTAGAAGGAACCAAATAGACTGTGTAATAGGATAAAGTGGATACCTTGTCATAATGATAAGG